CTTTTATTCTTGCTATATAGTTTTATTTTATTTGTATTTTTACGAATTGTAGTAACATTCACATTAGTTGATTAGTCAACTAGTGGTTACTATTACTCAATAAAATTATTAATAAAGATATGAGCAAGGCCTCACCTTAATACCAAAAAAAAAATTTATATATGACCACCTATACTGCATAAGATCCACTATTTTTGCTATTTATACCCTCTACTTATATAAAAAAATATATTTAACTAATAATAATTAGTTATTTTATATAGAAGAGGATACAAATAGCAAAAATGGAGGGTATGAATAGCAATGTCCTAAATATATTAGAATAATTTCCAATTATTTAAAATCATTTAATTTAATTTTAGAAAAAATATTATTTTATTATACAGTAATATAATCTATAATATTTTATTAATTTAGTATATTTTTTATTAATTTTAAATATTTTGAATTATTTTAAAATTATTTTGAATACAATATTGCAAAATATATTTTGAAATTTTTTGAATTTTTTTCAAAATTTTTCAAAAATATTATATTTCAAAATATTTTAAAATTTTTTGCACTAATTTGCGAAATTTTTTTGTAATACAAATTCTTTTACAATATTTTGCTTCTTTAAATTTGCTAATAATTAAGGTGTACTATTGAATAAAAATAAATATAGAACAAACTAATACAATACTGCAATAAAGAAAATGTCACTAAAATATATCAAAATTCAGAAATTATGCTCTTATATTTTAATTTGTATAAACCTAATTATTAGATTTTGCATTTTATCTACTTTTTTAAAAAGAGTTAACTTGAATAGATTATTGTAGTTTATTTAAACTAGAGAACTTTATTATCTACTTATATATCTATTTGTAAGTTTCTAATAATAAGTTAAATTTATAAAAATTTTCTAAAAAATATGATGAAAAAGTATGCAAGAGCTAATTAAGATCAAGAATTAATATATAGATAATTTTAGAATCTAATATTCTAATTTAGTATATTCTCTAACTACAATAAGAAAACACAGTTTTACAAATATTATGTATCAATTAGTTAATAAAATTACAAATTTAAAAAATCAAAAATCATAAAAAAAAAGCCAAATTATATATAGTTTAAATTAATCTTATTTAAATAATATTATAGGATGAATAAAACATCTTTATTAACTTAAACCATGTATTGACTAATTTACTAACTGTTATCTGTATAATACTTAAAAAATCTCAATATATATATTAAGTGTCTTCAATTAAAAGAGCTCATTTTTACATAGATTTTATTTTGAGATAATTGAGTTTAATTATTTGTTTTGATTTTTGGACTGATCTGAGATTAATCAAATTTCACAATTTTGATTGGTTAAAGACAACATGTGACTATCGGGTAATCTCGTGACGTGCTGGCTCTACGCAGCCTCATGTAATTTTCTTTTACATTATCTTGATTTTTTATTATGCAAATCGACTTTCATTTAAAATTGAAAAATGTCAGTCATGTCAAAATTTATATGAATCTAATAAAAACTCGATTTTCAAAAAATTGTAAAAATGGGCCCTTTTAATTGGGGACACCCCATATATTCAATTCTATATTCAACCCAATATTTGCTTCTATGTTTGCTTCTACATCTAATCTATTACTCTAATATAGATAATCGTATAATATAACTATTATTTTATTAGAAAAAATATTCTATGTTCTAGTACATATATCATATAGAGATTGTCTAGATGTCTATTATTCATTTGAATAACTATAATAATATTAAAAAAATTATGTAATATATATAGATTTTATTAACTTCTTAAAGAGTTTATTTAATAAACAATAAAAAAACTGTCTCCATATTTTTGCTAAATTGTTATCTTGTTATTTCATTTTACCTTTTTTTTTTGCTTAAACACAAAATTTTACTAATTTGGCATACATTATTACTATTGTTTTGGGAGAGCGTAAAGAACTATTGGCACAATTTAACTTCAATAGTTAACTTATATATTTTTTGTATAGAACTCAAGGTATTTTAATAATAAATAAATGCGATTATAGTAATAACTCAAGCATGTGAGGTTACGTAATTAATCTGTGATTGGAACACTTAATTATATCTACTGATAATTAATCAGGTAAATAAATCAAGTTATGTAATCGTAATTAAATAAATCAGTAATATCAATAGTCAATCAATATGACCGATATTAAGGTTCGATACTTATAAGGTAATAAAGTAATAGAGTATTTAACAAGTAACAGAAAAATGTATAATATGATTGTGAAGAGTCTTTATGATAAAATAATAATAATGAATATAACAAAGCGACAATAAACTTATAACAATCAACTGAGATATCAATTCTTAATACTCCTATATTAAAGACAATGAAATCTGAAGTTTTATTCGAAAAGCGAAAAGACAGCTCTTTTATACTTTCGAAATACATGAAAGGCTTATCACAGTTACTATAAATTCCTTTTGACTAGAACAATACATTTGATAAGTATCTTGTTATTTACATATTTTCTTTATTCACATTCTATCTTACTAACTAAGCTTTTTTAGACTCTAGTCACTCCGCCTTACTCTCTTACAAACTTTTTCTAAGCTTTGCTAGACTCTAGTCATTATGCCTTAATAAACAAGTAAGAATCTCCAGATATAAAAATAAATAAAAATGATGAATGAATAAATATTATGTCTCTTAATAACCCAAGCCTTAAAATCTATTTAGCCCCATTACAATTTGTGTAATTTAAAGCTTACACACATTCTCGTTACTACCCGTACACTATCCAGTCACGATTTTTTCTCAAAAAATCGTGATATACCCCCCTGATTAAATGTGAGCTCCTGCGAGCATTGTATCTTGATTTATTAAATGCTCATTCTCTTTTTCAAGTCCCTTTTTAGCTTCTTCACACAAAGTATTAAAATTCGTTTTGTTCATTGCATGTAGGATATTAGCAGATAGATGTTGAGTTACCACTAAGTTATGCACTCCTCTAATATTATAAAGAGTATATACCCATCGAGCTGTTCTTAATGCATGCCGATATTTTTCTGAGGTAAATCAATCTTTCATTTCTTCCTGAGCGTAAGAATTCCAATTATATCTAGCTAACCGTTCTCCCAATTGATAATAATACTGGAGTAAGGTTACCAGATCTAATCGACAAAGCTGGATTCGAATGCAAAAATAATCCATTTCTTGTTTCCAGTTTTGTCTTTCAATTGGGTCAAGTTCCCTTGTAGGATCCCCTAATCTATAAAGATCCTCAATATAAAGAGGCATTCGTTCCCTTTCCACTAATTCAGGAGCATATTCTATCGGTACTTAATCTCCTTGACTGTCAAGAAATTCGACGATAGTAGTTTTAATACGGAGAGTATCTACAGAAGATTCCTTAATACAGTTTTGAATACTTAACAATAATTTTAAAATGGGCATAGTTAATCGAAAAGATTCCATATTATTATTATTATTTATTTTATTTTATTTTTTTTTCAAAAAGAATAAAGGTCAATTCGAGCTATATTTATAAGTCTGAGAGTTTCTTTTTACCGAAGGCTCTATATACTGTTTTAATCAATTCCCATATATAGGTTTCTTGAGAACTACCTCTCTTTTACCAGGCTTATCGTTTGTTATTGTTCTCAGTTTATATGTTCTATTGCCACAAACATTATGAATATAATGCGGACCTGTAAACCTAAATTCAAATTTCATGCTGTACGACGTCAACAAAGAGGAGCTTTCTAATAATACCTTATCGCCAATTGAATAACTTTCTATCTGATAGCTTTGATCATGACGTGCTTTCTGTTTATCTTGAGCTTTTCTAATATTAGCTTTAGCCTGAGAGCGCGATTCAACTAATTGTTCTATTAGACTTTCTATTCGTCTTAACAAATAATCCTGTAATTCTTTTTCCGTGATTGGTTTGTTCAGATAGGTCGAAATAACAGTTTCTACGGGTAATAAAGCGTCACGACCATACATAAGGAAAAAAGGCTCATATCAGGTAACAGAATGTCGATTTGTACAATATGCAAAGAGTGTGGCAAGTATATAATCATCCCAGTCACCCTTATATTGTTCAATACATTTGGCCAAAACTTCACATAATGTTCGATTAAAACGTTCAACTAACCCATTCATTTGTGGGTGGTATGCCGTTGCTTTTGAACGATGAACATTCATCTTACTACATAATGCATCCACTACTTTATTACAAAAATGAGTCCTCTGGTCTGAGAGTAATTCACGTAGACTCCTGTGATAACAAATAATGTCTTTGAAAAGAAAAGCAGTCACGGATTCAGCATCAGCTCGTTCAATGGCACGTGCTTCTGGCCATCGGGTAAATATTCAGTTGCCACCACTATATACCAATATCCTTTGGTAGTTACAGATAGCGGACC